ATATGGTGAAGCACGAGAGGTTGCAGTTTCGGTTTTCGCCTAATGAGACTTTGATCTTTTCCAGGAGAGTTTTGCGAAGGACCCAGACGTTGGTACCTTTCGTCCCTTTTTGTCACAAGGCACGGTAGAAGTTGATGGTGTCGACACACCAGTCACTATTTTGAGAGACTCGGGTTGTCACCAAACTCTCATCAAAGAGAGTGTTGTTGCGGCGAGGAAGACTGACAAAACGTCGTTTTGGGCGCCCTTTGGGGTAAAGGTGCAGCTCCTTTGGTTTTTCAGGTATAGCTAAACGTAGCCGGTGAGCACGAGCTGCCTGTGTTAGTACGTGTCAAGTCTCCTTGTTGCTTGAGAGTGGATCTCATACTCGGTAACAATTTGCTGCAACAGCTTGACGATGATATGCCCGGTGTTTTCCCTTTGTGTGCTGTGACTCGTTTTATGTCAATGACTAATGATCATAATGTAACTCCTGATGTAGATGATTTACTGTCCTTAGAAGGACTTTTTGCTAACCCAATTGCTTCCCAAGACATTTCTTCCGCAGTTAATGCTGTGACCGGGAGAGTTGCTTTAATAGCTGCACAAGAGCAAGACGATTCATTACAGCTCTTGTTTGACCAGGTATCCGATTCAGGCCCTACCACGAGATATTTCAGTCAAGACGGTGTTTTGTGCCGCCGCTGGCTCCCACCGACTATGTCAGAGGAAGACGCGGACTGGGCGTCTATCACTTAAATAGTTATCCCACACACTTACAAACATGTTCTAGCTCTGGCCCATGACGGTCGCTTTTCTGGACATCAAGGTGTCCGAAAGACGTTCAACAGGCTGGCCAGAAAGTTCTATTGGCCAGGTATGAGGAGAGATGTCACTAAATATCGTAAGTACTGTCATTTTTGACAAAAGGTAGGCAAAGCCAATCAGTCTATTCCACCTTTTCCACTTGTAGGAGTACCTCACGTACCTGAGCCCTTTACAACAGTACAGTGTGACATTGTAGGACCTCTGCCTAAAACTTCTAGTGGGTTTGAATATTATTTACAGTCGGTGATACCTCCACTAGGTACATGCATGCTGTACCTCTTAGGAAAGTTACTGCTAAGGCACTTGTTAAATGTTTGCTTGACCTGTTTAGTCACTTTGGGTTGCCGTACCGTGTTCAAACAGACGGTGCTTCATATTTTGTAGGAAAAGTTTTCAAGGAAGCCCTAACAGAGTTGGGAATAGTTCATTGTTAGGTAGTAGTGAAGAGAGCATTAGGGTATTAAGTTTAGGAGGAGATGTTAGAGAGAAGCTTCTAAGATGTTGGAGCCTTGCCGCAGACCACTTACAGCAGTCGCAGTGCAAGACCAAGACATGGTGCGACAAGTGTGACAGACACAGAGTTCCAGATAGGAGATCAAGTTCTCATTCTCTTGCCGAGACATGGACAGCCACTCCATGCGAAGTTTAGTGGGCCATTTAGAGTGGTGAAGAAGGTAAGCCCCACAAATTATATTATCTCTACCCCTGACAGGCGCCGACTACAGCGCTTATGTCACGTCAACACCATCAAGCTGTACCACACACGCCCAGCACCCCCATTTGTTGCTGATGATCCAGTTCCCGTGTGTGCCGTTGACACTTTCTTGGTAGACGGTGAGAAAGAAGAGGAAAAAGAAGAGGCAAGTCCACGCGCCCTGTCATCAGTCAGGGTTTGGCAGTCCAACTCCTTGGAGTTGCATGAGAAGTTACAGCATTTACCGGGACACCAGAGAGCTGACGTGCTGGCCGCCATCCAACAACATCCTCTTGTCTTCCAAGACAGGCCTGGCTGTACCACTGCCGTGGTGCATGATATTGATGTTGGTTCTGCTGAGCCTATCAAGCAGGTTCCCTATCAGTGAGTGGTGCTCGCCAGTCACTCTAGTACCGAAGAAGGACGGCACTCTTCAATTCTGCATTGACTTCCGCAAGGTCAACGCCGTCACCAGCAAGGACAGGTTCCCTCTACCCAGAGTCGACGACTGCATCGAAGCAATCGGGAACGCCAAGTTCCTCTCTAAGATTGATTGCCTTCGAGGGTTTTGGCAAGTACCTTTGACCTGTCGTGTTAAAGACATCTCCAGTTTTGTGACATTAGGTAAGACCTATAAATTTAATGTTATGCCTTTCGGGCTTTGCAATGCCCCTGCTACCTTTCAAAGGCTGATGTTACAAGTCACGGCCACTTGGCCTGGTTGTGTAGTATATTTAGATGATGTTGTAATTTTTTCTCACACTTGGTCAGACCATTTATGTCAGCTAGATGCTCTCTTCACTGAGTTAGAAAATGTAGGACTTGTTATAAACTTTACTAAGTCAGAATTTGTTTGTGCTCAACTTTTGTATCTGGGACATGTAATTGGGTTGGAAACTTGCTCCTCCCACAGCAAGGTGTGACACTATTTCTCAGACGCCTGTTCCATGTAACAAACGACAAGTCCGCAGATTTTTGGGTTGTGTGGGTTATTACCGGAGATATATTTGTAATTTTGCCGAGTTGGCACTACCCCTTACTGATTTGTTGAAGAAGGGTAATATTTTTTGTTGGATTTCAAGGTGTCAGGATTCTTTTCAAAACTTGAAAAATGTATTATGCTCATATCCTATTTTAAGAGCCCCTAATTTTTCTAAGCCTTTCAAGCTAGCCTGTGATGCTAGTGATCTGTTGTCTAGACCCACAGAATGAACACTTATGTCATATCAAAATTTGTGCAAGCAAAATTTTATTTTATGGGGGGAAGTGTTACAACGGTGTCGTATTTTTCTATTATTTTTTATAACATGCTTCCATGTTATTCTATATTATTCCTGTAACGATGTGTTATATTTACTATTATATAATCTAGTCACCTTACCCTGTGCTGTTAAGGTTTTAACTGTTAATATTTGTTCAAGCCCATCTTATTTCTTCATTTAGTATTGTAACAAGCATTCTTTGTTTCTCTAACGATCATCTGCATCGTTAAATGACCCATGTTTCACCCGCTGGCTGGTCTCATTAGCTGAGCTGGACCCTATGTATAGTGCTCACCAGTAGAAGGAGGGCAGTCCAGTCCTCCTTGTCATTAGTTCGCGTTCTTTTGAATGACACCTGTCACCTGTTACTTATACTTCATTTTATTTCTGTGATTATTCCTGTCGCTACCAATGTGGTATATCTATGTGAGTACCTATTTATGTCTCTTATGTGTCCATCAGTGCTTGCTTAGTTACATTTAAGTAATTCAGTGTTGTTTCACGTTAGTAAATTTCAGTGTTAGTTTTTATATGTTTATGCAGTGTTAACGTAATCCAATGCTTTATTTATATTCTTTTGATGTTTCGATGTTTCGTATCACTTGTGTCTTAAAATTTTCGATAGTGAATCAATTTGTGGTGACACCCTACGAGGCTCTTTATTGTGTTAGTATTTAATTTAATTAAATTCTTAAAGGTTTACTTCATTTTTTTATCCTTTTTTTATTTACTTCATTTTTTTTGTTTGGTTACGCCTAGAACCTGGATATTAAAGTAAATTAGGAGACGGCGTACAATATATATATATATATATATATATATATATATATATATATATATATATATATATATATATATATATATATATATATATATATATATATATGTATATGTATGTATATATATATATATATATATATATTTTTTTTATCATAGGCATAAAAATTCACACACAATCTATATGCAAACGAGTCGTTTCCAAAAATGCAAATACACACAATCATTAATATACAACATATATAGACCTAAACAGACTAATATGCGTACAATATCTACAGATGGAACAGTTTGATTATTGGCTGAAGGAGGTCAGATACCACGTATGGCTGTGGGTGTCGTGGTCATGGTGATTCAAGTACCTCTTCAGTATTCCTTACCACATTCAAGTTCTACTTGGGTAACGTTTAAATGTTCCTAAGTTGACTTTATATTCATCAAAGCTATTAAGCAACATATCTCTTAGATGATTTGATAGATGAAAGTCAACCATTGACCTTGATAAGAAGACACAAGTCCACCTGTACAAGGCGCTGGTGAGGCGTGTGTTGGAGTACCCACATATACCAATCGTCACACCTGGGAAGACCAGACTGCAACAACGACAGAGCTTCCAAAACAAGTGTTTGAGGTCAGCCAGTGGCCAAGCGCCACCCTACCAGGAGACAGTGGAAACCATCCACCTGAGAAATAAAACAGAGGACCTCAGCGTCAGGCTCCATCGCCTAGGGAAGAAGGTTTGGGACAAGCTCCTGGACGACCCTCACAGCTCAGACCACCTACGCGGGGAAGACATCAACGAAGGGCGACCCCACGCCTGGTGGTCCCGGAGTCTGCCTGCACTACAACAACCCAACCCGCGACCCATCTATGTTCGCCACAGTGATCCACTTTAGATTAAAACTTAGATGATATAAGTTCACATTTAACAAGTCACAATCTAGTGAGTCCATAACGTAATACAGTAATAAGATTTTAATAAATATTTAATTGTAAAATCCAACAAGTCATTGTCTACCAAAGTAACCATTGTGCAACCTCATCCAATCCTAGGTTAGCTTAGTTAGCCAACAAACTTTGTAATATGTAAAACAACGGGTGTCGTCCCTCTCTGTTTAACTCATTAAACTTCTTTTCCAACCTTTCCCCCCACGACTATATGTTGTGACTTCTCCATCCCTCATGTCTGGCTGTGCCTTGAGCCCCAGCATGCCTTCCATCCTTTCCCCACCTTAACCTAAATTAAAATACTTAACCTTTACTCAACGATACTTTACTGTAACTAAAAATGTTCTGTAAATTAATAAATCTTTGTGAGTCAGAACATTGTTGGTCTTACCTGTCTGAAAATTGTCACATAATATAATCAAGTGAAACAACACCAGAGCTTCAGAAGAGTTTAATTATACTGCTAATTAAAGTAACACTATAAAGGTGTCTGAGAAATAGAAGTTAACATAGATGGTTTCGCAACTTTATTTATAAATTCTTATACACTAAATAAATACATTTTATGAATTGTAGAATTGATATATTTCTTTAGAAGTGCTGAAGATTTCAGTGATAATATATTGGCCCTAAGATGGTATGCAGGGCTTCAGGAATGTCAGACGTATAGAACTGTTGGTTATGCAAACTGGGTGAGAGGAGGACCCTTTCTTATTGGTGGACTCCAGCCACGGCGGCCTGGTCGAGTCCTTAATAGCGCTCCCTGTAGGTGAGACCGTGTGGTAATGATTAAAAATAATTAGTAATACATTAACTATAATAAGGAAAAAAATAAGAGATAAAACTGGGCTGGTCTTCCATTGTCTAGTCTCACATAGATAAGCTACACCAGTACAGTGAACCTCAGTGTAAAGCTGATGAGTTGGATTATATAGTTTATATCAAACATTAATGGTCGGGAGTCGCCTTCATGTTGACCAGATTTATTCTCTTAATCAGACGATTATCGTTAATTCGTGTGACAATGTTTTTCTATCTCACCACTCTAGTTATCTACTGTATGAATATATATATATATATATATATATATATATATATATATATATATATATATATATATATATATATATATATATATATATATATATATATATATATATATATATGTAGTACAGTCACGACATCAGGTGTTAACAATCTATCAATTATTCCCTCGTTCATATCTTCTCGTTTCCAGAGTCGTAAGACCGCCTCACACTAGAAGCGACGGGAGCCACGCGATGTATGTGGTTATATTGACTAAGGTAACTCACACCTGAACCTATACTGCATAAGGCCTGTGATCGGGCGGCCATATAGCTTCAGATTGCCTGGAGTGATTTTTTCCGGCATAGCTTTGGTCATACATTCTCAGTAACTCAGTAGGGGAACGTAAATTAGGTGGACTGTAGAATTTCCTCATCTGAATCATCATGACCATTAGTGTAAGAAAAACAGAAGAATAACGTGTAGGAGGGGTTTGCTGAACAATTGCACACTTTTACTGGATAAAAACAAAACAAAAACATTAAATTATTTAAGGGAGACAATTAACAAACCTATCATATTTACAAGTTTCGACAGAGATGAAAGTAAGAAACAATGAGCATTACCGGTCCTGGTCTGTAGGCGTCATGTCCTCCTGCGATGATTAAATGAACGTTTCGGGTCAGCCTCTGGCCTCTACCATCACTTACCAACCCAACGTTCTCTGTGCAGAAAGACAAGGAAGAGATGACACCCAAGTACCTATATGATTATAAATGTGTTTCTCAATTCCAGTACAGGTTGATAGATAAATTAAATGACTGAGTCTCTACTGTGATCTTAACAGATCTTACAAACACATGAAGTTAATCGTACATGTTAAGGTTCTTATATAACAAAAGAGATAATGGTGTAATACCTACCAGAGTGAGCAGGTGTGGGCGTGTAGCAGAGAGCCAGCAGCAACACCCACGTCAGGCAGGTCAGGTAGCCAGCCATCACCCTCACTGTGTCCAGGTAGATAAATTATATGAGTCAACTCACTGTGTCCAGGTAGATAAAGTATATGAGTCATCTCATTGTGTCCGGGTAGATAAAGTATATGAGTCAGCTCACTGTGTCCAGGTAGATAAAGTATTTGAGTCAGCTCACTGTGTCCAGGTAGATAAAGTATATGAGTCAGCTCACTGTGTCCAGGTAGATAAAGTATATGAGTCAGCTCACTGTGACCAGGTAGATAAATTATGAGTCAGCTCACTGTGTCCAGGTAGATTAAGTACTTATATTTGTAAAGCGTCATCCTGACATTGATATATATACACTGTAAAAAATGTACCGTAAATTTTATGGTGGAATAATGGAAGCCCATTTACTAGTGTTCCACCATAAAATTTACAGTGCGTAAGTATATGTCAAAACAGACGACCACGGTATGTTTCTGTAAAATGCCATAAAACAAATATGGTGGCCAACCGTAGATTTTTTACAGTGAACCACTCTAATATTCACGGTAATTTTTTACAGTGTAGGAACAAATTTCTATAAGTACAACACTCTTCTCTATAACTCACATTTTCTAATCCAATATACTACAGTAAAATATATATATATATATATATATATATATATATATATATATATATATATATATATATATATATATATATATATATATATATATATATATATATATTTCCAGGGGCACTCTAACATTGTTATTGCTGCCTGTGATAACTATTTAATAACACTGACATATTATCGGTATTCATAAACAAAATCCGTTAACAGAGAGACTGCACAACAGGCAGGGAGGTGTGGGTCAGCGGCGCTGGTTGGCAAGACACCATGAATCAACAATTATTAAATTTATACTTAATTGCCACACTCTCACTCTTATTAGCAGCGTCCAATACTTCCCTTCAACAAGAGAGGTTAAGGAATCAAGAAACCAGCAGGTCAGGATATATTCACCTGTTTGTGACTGACGAGAGAGTTGGTTAGGTTAGTTGTGATCAACTCCGCGTGTGTACGACCTCTGACGAGAAGAACGTGACTGAGGACTTTCCTGAACTTACGTCTCTTATATAACCTGTTTGTTGGCTAACTCTGACTCACAGTTTGGTTTTAGATGTGGCAACGAAATCTTTACCGGGGAAACCCTGAATACGTTCAACTGTATGCTACATAAACCATCAATAATGACGATGTTGGTGAAGATGTTGAAGAGATATAATGTGTAGTTATTGTTGTCATCATCCTCCATCACGTTCTGTCAGCTGATACTTCTGGCCATCGTTGACCATATCATGCATTTATAATTAGTATGCCCTTAAGTCCTTTAGTATCACACAGCTCATTATGATCTGTTGTCAGCCTGTGTTGTACTGTACAGTCAGTTGTCACAAATCACTTACTGTGTGTGTGTGTGTGTGTGTGTGTATGCGAGTGTGAGTGTGTGTGTGTGTGTGTGTGTGTGTTTTAGATTCATTAGATCAGGGGTTCTCAACCAGGGGGGAATTTCCCCCCTCAGGTTTTCAGGGAAACTGATACTAATATGGAAAAAATAAAGGATTTTCAGTATTACATGCATATTATTTGGAATGCACTTTTTGAGGCAGACAATCTTGGAAAGGAGGGGGGAATGACATTCTGACATATGGTGAAAGAGGTGCATGGGGCAAACAAGGTTGAGAACCACTGCATTAGATCAACCAATATATTATTGTTTTTAGAAATAGCACAGCGAAAAAGTAGCCATAAATCATATGCACAAGAATATACGTCGTCTACGTCTTCACTAATAATATTTTACCAGTGTGAAGCAAGTTGAGATCTGGACGGTACAGTACAGTCAGTCAAAGACCACCGACCCCACCCTAGGTCTTGTGCTCGCAATTTTACCTGGCAATACTTGGTAAAGGATGGTTGTATGTAAAGGTGATTGTTTCGAGCTGTATCACTGTCAGGATAAATATTAAACCAAGGGTAACTTTTTTATAACAATAAACTATTCATTGTTATTTAAGGTCATGAGAAGTTTCCAAATGATCGTATATTTGTTTAAATAATGAATAAAATTTGATGTGAGAATCTTGTGGCAGCTGTGGTTGTAGTTGAGTTGCCAATTCATTAATATAATTTTCTTCAATATTTAAGCAAATATACGAACATTTTGAAACGTCTCATGACCTTATATAACTATGAATAGTTTATTTAATAATTATCCTGACAGTGATACAGCAGAAAACAATCCACCAATCATAATCACCTTTACATACAGCCTTCCTTTACCAAGTATTGCCAGGTAAAATTGCGAGCACAAGACCTAGGGTGGGGTCGGTGGTCTTTGACTGACTGTACAATGGACACGGTTGACTGAGAACGCGGTATGTCAGCGACCTTCAACCTTATGTTGGAGGTGATGCCGACTGTGTGTGTAGTGTTACCACTCTTAGTTACTCAGTGGCTTCAGAGCCTGATATGGTTGCTAGTAATAAACACCATCCTCCTCAGACACAAACACACACACGCTAACATACACACCCACAACCTTTATCCTGTGATCAGTTTAACCATGTTGGTGATAGCTGGACGAAGATCATAAATATTTGGTAAGAGACGTGTGGCTGAGACAAGGGTGGAGAGTCTTCAGGGGCGACTCATCCACCTCCTCAGTACACTATACTCAAGCTCTTCTTAGGTAACATGTTCAAGTGTTGCTAAGTTCATTTTCCACCCATTAAGGTTATTAAGGAACATGTCTACTACATGTTTGGTGGATGAAAGACATTGGATGACATCATTACATTATTTTACACAACGATACTTTACTGTAACAAAAAATGTTCCGTAAATTAAGAATCTTTGTGAGTCAGAACATTGATGCCTTAACTGCCTCAGAATTATAACCAGTAAGTCTAGAGGTATTGATTATACTGTCAACTAAACTTCTTGTCAACGTTACACAATAATGGCTCCTGAGAAGTGTCAGTTAACTCAACAGGTTTCATAACTATATTGAAATTTTTTATTACATTATTTTATTACATTTATTATTTTATTACAGGACTGTTGGTCATGTCTATTACTTTTGGGGTCTTGAGTTGAGTGGAGGACCTGTTATCACTGGTATCAGCCTGGTACCTGTAGAGTTAAATAGTTGAATCGGAGTCCTTAGTATCACACCCTGTAAGAGATTGGAAATAGATTTTTTATTTTGCCAAAGAACATAAGATAATTATCAATAATATAATAAGAAAGACAAGTAAGAGATAAAACTGGGCTGGTCTTCCATTGTCTAGTCTCACATAGATAAGCTACACCAGTACAGTGAACCTCAGTGTAAAGCTGATGAGTTGGATTATATAGATTATATCAAATATTAATGGTCGGGAGTCGCCTTCATGTTGACCAGATTTATACACAGTGAATTCCACAACAGTTGGTTAAGATGAAACACACAAGACTACTTTATGGGAAATATTGGCTGAATAAATTAGATACTTTTACAGAAATAAGAATAATTAACCATGTTTAGGAAAATAGAATTAATGATTATATTAAGTCTACCAAGTGCAATAGGAGGAAAGAGAATATAACTAAAACTGGGAACTCTAAGCCCACCGGTCCTGTTGAGTCGGCGTCACTTCCTCCTATGTATCCGTCATCGCCAATCCACGGGCCGTCATGAATACCGTCCAGGGTGAACTCATTACCACCACCACCACCAATACCTGCTGACCCGAAGCTCCCTGTACAGGAAGACATACAGCAGGTAAATTAGTTTCCTAATCTTGTTAAACTCAAGTCTTGTTTGTGATCTAACTGCATGAACATTGGCTGTAATTTCGTAAACGCTTAAAACAGCATCAAATAAATTACACTCATGAATGGAAATTCTTAAAAAAAAAAATACTAGTGAGTTCCTACCAGAGTGAGCAGGTGTAGGCGTGTAGCAGAGAGCCAGCAGCAACACCCAAGTCAGCCAGGTCAGGTATCCAGCCATTATCCTCACTGTAACCAGGTAAATAAAGTATATGAGTCAGTTCACTGAGTTCAGGTAGATAAGGTCTAGGACTCAACGCAGTGTCCAGGTAAATAAAGTATATGAGTCACCTCACTGTGACCAGGTAGATAAATTATATGAGTCAGCTCACTGTGGCCAGGTAGATAAAGTATATGAGTCAACTCACTGTGTCCAGGTAGATAAAGTATATGAGTCAGCTCACTGTGTCCAGGTAGATAAAGTATATGAGTCAACTCACTGTGTCCAGGTAAATAAAGTATATGAGTCAGCTCACTGTGTCCAGGTAAATAAAGTATATGAGTCAGCTCACTGAGTCCAGGTAAATAAAGTATATGAGTCAGCTCACTGAGTCCAGGTAAATAAAGTATATGAGTCTGCTCACTGTGTCCAGGTAAATAAAGTATATGAGTCAGCTCACTGTGTCCAGGTAAATAAAGTATATGAGTCAGCTCACTGTGTCCAGGTAGATAAAGAATATGAGTCAGCTCACTGTGTCCAGGAAGATAAAGTATAAAAGTCAACTCACTGTGTCCAGGTAAATAAAGTATATGAGTCAGCTCACTGTGTCCAGGTAGATAAAGTATATGAGTCAACTCACTGTGTCAAGGTAGATAAAGTATATGAGTCAGCTCACTGTGTGCAGGTATATAAAGTATAAGAGTCAGCTTTTTGTGTCCAGGTAAATAAAGTATATGAGTCAGCTCACTGTGTCCAGGTAGATAAAGTAAATGAGTCAACCCACTGTGTCCAGGTAGGTTAAGTAGATGAGTCAGCTCACTGTGTCAAGGTAGATAAAGTATATGAGTCAGCTCACTGTGTCCAGGTAAATAAAGTATAAGAATCAGCTCACTGTGTCCAGGTAAATAAAGTATATGAGTCAGCTCACTGTGTCCAGGTAGGTAAAGTATATGAGTCAGCTCACTGTGTCCAGGTAGATAAAGTATATGAGTCAACTCACTGTGTCCAGGTAGGTAAATTATATGAGTCAACTCACTGTGTCCAGGTAAATAAAGTATATGAGTCAGTTAACTGTGTCTAGGTAAATAAAATATATGAGTCAGCTCACTTTGTCCAGGTAGATAATGTATAGGAGTCAACTCACTGTGTCCAGGTAAATAAAGTATATAAGTCAGCTCATTGTGTCCAGGTAGATAATGTATATGAGTCAGCTCGCTTTGTCCAGGTAAATAAAGTATATGAGTCAGCTCACTGTGTCCAGGTAGCTAAAGTATAGGAGTCAACTCACTGTGTCCAGGTAAATAAAGTATATAAGTCAGCTCATTGTGTCCAGGTAGATAAAGTATATGAGTCAGCTCACCGTGTTCAGGTAGATAAAGTATATGAGTCAGCTCACTGTGTCCAGGTAGATAAAGTATAGGAGTCAACTCACTGTGTCCAGGTAAATAAAGTATATGAGTCAGCTAACTGTGTCTAGGTGAATTAAGTATATGAGTCAACTCACCGTGTTCAGGTAGATAAAGTATATGAGTCAGCTCACTGTGTCCATGTAAATAAAGTATATGAGTCAACTCACTGTGTCCAGGTAGAAAATGAATATAAGTCAGCTCACTGTGTCCAGGTAAATATAGTATATGAGTCAGCTCAATGTGTCCAGGAAAATAAAGTATATGAGTCAGCTCACTGTGTCCAGGTAGGTTAAGTAGATGAGTCAGCTCACTGTGTCCAGGTAAATAAAGTATATGAGTCAGTTAACTGTGTCTAGGTAAATAAAGTATATGAGTCAGTTCATTGTGTCCAGGTAGATAAAGTATATGAGTCAGCTCACCTTGTCCAGGTAATTAAAGTATATGAGTCAGCTCACTGTGTCCAGGTAAATAAAGTATATAAGTCAGCTCATTGTGTCCAGGTAGATAAGGTATATGAGTCAGCTAACTGTGTCTAGGTGAATAAAGTATATGAGTCAACTCACCGTGTTCAGGTAGATAAAGTATATGAGTCACCTCACTGTGCCCATGTAAATAAAGTATATGAGTCAACTCACTGTGTCCAGGTAGAAAATGAATATGAGTCAGCTCACTATGTCCAGGTAAATAGAGTATATGAGTCAGCTCACTGTGTCCAGGAAAATAAAGTATATGAGTCAGCTCACTTTTTCTAGTTAGATAAAGTATATGAGTCAACTCACTGTGTCCAGGTAGGTTAAGTTGATGAGTCAGCTCATTGAGTCCAGATAGATATAGTATATGAGTCAGCTCACTGTGTCCAGGTAAATAAAGTATATGAGTCAACTCACTGTGTCAAGGTAGATAAAGTAAATGAGTCAACTCACTGTGTCCAGGTAGGTAAAGTATAAAAGTCACCTCACTGTGTCCAGGTAAATAAAGTATATGAGTCAGCTCACTGTGTCCAGGTAGGTAAAGTATATGAGTCAGCTCACTGTGTCCAGGTAGATAAAGTATATGAGTCAGCTCACTATGTCCAGGTAAATAAAGCATATGAGTCAGCTCACTGTGTCCAGGTAAATAAAGTATATGAGTCAACTCACTGTGTCTAGGTAGATAAAGTATATGAGTCAGCTCACTGTGTCCAGGTAAATAAAATATATGAGTCATCTCACTGTGTCCAGGTAGATAAAGTAAATGAGTCAACTCACTGTGTCCAGGTAGGTAAAGTATATGAGTCAGCTCACTGTGTGCAGGTAACTAAAGTATATGAGTCAACTCACTGTGTCCAGGTAGATAAAGTATATGAGTCAGCTCACTGTGTCCTGGTAAATAAAGAATATGAGTCAGCTCACTAAGTCCTGGTAAATAAAGTATATGAGTCATCTTACTGTGTCCAGGGAGATAAAGTATATGAGTCAGCTCACTGTGTCCAGGTAAACGAAGTATATGAGTCAGCTCACTGTGTCCAGGTAAATAAAGTATATGAGTCAGCTCACTGTGTCCAGGTAAATAAAGTATATGAGTCAGCTCACTGTGTCCAGGTAAATAAAGTATATGAGTCAGCTCACTGTGTCCAGGTAAATAAAGTATATGAGTCAGCTCACCGTGTCCAGGTAAATAAAGTATATGAGTCAGCTCACTGTGTCCAGGTATATAAAGTATATGAGTCAGCTCACTGTGTCCAGGTAAATAAAGTATATGAGTCAGCTCACTGTGTCCAGGTAAATAAAGTACTCACTCCACTTTCAGTAAAGCTTCACCTACATATTGATATAAAAAGATCTTTTTTTTAGCTTTTGGAAGCAGGTACATGTAGTTTTAAACACACACACACACACACACACACTTTTCATTATATATTATATATTAACCACTATTGTCATTTGTATGTTCAGCTTATGGCTGTTTATATTTATTAATAAACCAATAATTTTTATTTTTATCATTATTATTATATCATAAAACACGTTTAAATTAATTTAACACTGGGTCCACTAGTGCAGGTTACAACACCTCTACATTGAGCGTACAAGAAGAGAGACAGGCCAGCAGGGTACTCATGTGGATGCGGCACCTGCTGGCTGCCGTGACACAAGTATTTCCGCAACCCTATATTTACTTTTGCTTCTATCTCCGCCACAGATCGGCTCGTTAGCTTCTTGGGCAGCTGGTCTGTTACGCACTGTTGGCAAGTACTGGGCATGCACCGGCTCCTGAATGTACCTGTACCTGCGCTAGTGTTAGTCAAGTCTGATCTTCAAAGAGGTTACACTCGGTGCCGTCACAACCAAGGACACCTGCTGGAACTTTCCAAGGAGGTGGGCGGTTGGGGGTGGGGGGGTGGGGGCAAGGGGATAGACAAGCCCCACAGTCGGGCTTGGTGGGCTAACATTTTAAGTTCGGATTTTTTCTGTCTGGTTTTTAAACAAAAATCAGACAAATTTTGATGAAATTCGTCAAATCACTGAAGCTGCGATGACTTGATTTATTGTTGATGTTCCGTTTTTGTTTCTCTTTTCTTTTTCGGTTTTTCTTTCCCTTCGTTTTTTGCTTTATTCTAATCCCCTTCTTTCGTTGAGTATTTGTTGCTTATGTATTTTAACACAAGCCCCCTCTTGCCCCACCCCTTAGCCATGGTCACAACACTGGCAGAGCGTTCCAAGAGTTTACAATTATCAAATACAATAATATTTTCGTTGCACACTAAATACATGAGTAGGTTAAAACAACAACACATATAACACACTAAGGAATTATTCACCGGTTGAGAGACGACAACAGTAGGATGAAGTGAGCAACCTGGTGTGTGTGTGTGTAGGACTGGGCGCCACCAGACTATGGTTAGGTGTTAGCCGGCTCTCTCTTTTATATCCTGTTTGTAGTCTCACTGTGACACCTGGGAATTTGGAATTATTTTTTCCACGAAATCATTATCAGGGAAAACATTCAAACACTGGAGTTTACGTAAAATGACATTCGAAGTGACAATGTTGAGGAATGTGCCTTATAGTACGGCATATTATTATATTTAATGAGGCCTGATAACACAAACTCGGTGTACAAAGCCAGATTACACAAAACACACTCAAGTACAAGACGACGTGGAGGTGAAGGAGTGTACTTGTGTATCGTCATGGTATAATAAGGCCGTGCGGGGAGGGAATCTTTTCAGTATGTTTGGCTATTGCCAGATAGTTATACACACCGTATTGGTCTAAACCACTCCACTGTCTCCCTTATAAACTATTTGTGTCATGCTGTTATCATTGAGTTTTAGAGAAGACAATATCTGATGAAGTGTTAGTAGGAGAGTTTTGGAAACATTGTTGTCACGACAGCCACTTCCTCTCTCCCCACCTGTGTACACCTGGTCTAGCTTTCCTATTGTACGTATAATCTCCGTGTTTGCCTATTTTACTTATGAATTCGTATATGTGAGTTTCATATAGTATGTTTTCGAGGAGAGGTTGGTGTGTTGACTCATATACTTTATCTACCTGGACACAGTGAGTTGACTCATATACTTTATCTACCTGGACACAGTGAGCTGACTCATATACTTTATCTACCTGGACACAGTGAGCTGACTCATATACTTTATCTACCTGGACACAGTGAGCTGACTCATATACTTTATCTACCTGGACACCTGACTCATATACTTTATCTACCTGGACACAGTGAGCTGACTCATATACTTTATCTACCTGGACACAGTGAGCTGACTCATATACTTTATCTACCTGGACTGACTCATATACTTTATCTACCTGGACACAGTGAGCTGACTCAGTGATGACTTATATCTACCTGGACACAGTGAGCTGACTACACAGTTGGCTACCTGGACACAGTGAGTTGTCTACCTGGACACCTGGTCTACCTGGACACAGTGAGCTGACTCATATACTTTATCTACCTGGACACAGTGAGCTGACTCATATACTTTATCTACCTGGACACAGTGAGCTGACTCATATACTTTATCTACCTGGACACAGTGAGCTGACTCATATACTTTGTCTACCTGGACACAGTGAGTTGACTCATATACTTTATCTACCTGGACACAGTGAGCTGACTCATATACTTTATCTACCTGGACACAGTGAGTTGACTCATATACTTTATCTACCTGGACACAGTGAGCTGACTCATATACTTTATCTACCTGGACACAGTGTGGACACAGTGAGACTCATATACTTTATCTACCTGGACACAGTGAGCTGACTCATATACTTTATCTACCTGGACACAGTGAGCTGACTCATATACTTTATCTACCTGGACACAGTGTGCTGACTCATATACTTTATCTACCTGGACACAGTGAGCTGACTCATATACTTTATCTACCTGGACACAGTGTGCTGACTCATATACTTTATCTACCTGGACACAGTGAGTTGACTCATATACTTTATCTACCTAGACACAGTGAGTTGACTCATATACTTTTTCTACCTGGACACAGTGAGGGTGATGGCTGGCTACCTGACTTGCCTGACGTGGCTGTTGCTGCTGGCTCTCTGCTCCACGCCTACACCTGCTCACTCTGGTAGGTACTCATCCACATTTCCCTCCTGATAATATATTTAAAAATTATGTTAACTTTTATCAAGTTCACGTGTTTTTAATGGATTGTAGTACTTAATAAAATATCAAAGTGTAAGGGCTTTGTTTTGACTGTTATCTGTTCTGATGTTAGAAAACTGAATTAAGAACATGGATGGTTTTCACATATCCATTATCATCATTCACAGAGAAAGTCGGGTTGGTAGGTGGCGGTGGTCGTAGCAAAATGCAGACCCGGGACGCCCTGGGGAAAATCTTCGAAGTTTGTAAAAAAAAGTGTGATAAATAATATGATTATTTTTTCTGTAGCTCTGGTGTTGTTTCACTTGATGCTGATTATATTATGTGACAATTTTCAAACAGGTAAAAACAACAATTTTCTGACTCACAAAGATTCTTAATTTTCGGAACATTTTTAGTTACAGTAAAGTATCGTTGTGTAAAATAATGTAATGATGTCATCCAATGTCTTTCATCCACCAAACATGTAGTAGACATGTTCCTTAATAACCTTAATGGGTGGAAAATGAACTTAGCAACACTTGAACATGTTACCTAAGAAGAGCTTGAGTGTGATGTACTGAGGAGGTGGATGAGTCGCCCCTGAAGACTCTCCACCCTTGTCTCAGCCACACGTCTCTTACCAAATATTTATGGTCTTCGTCCAGCTATCACCAACATGGTTAAACTGATCACAGGATAAAGGTTGTGGGTGTGTATGTTAGCGTGTGTGTGTTTGTGTCTGAGGAGGATGGTGTTTATAACTAACAACCATATCAGGCTCTGAAGCCAGTGAGTAACTAAGAGTGGTAACACTACACACACAGTCGGCATCACCTCCAACATAAGGTAGAAAGTCGCTGTCATAAACCGTGCCTATCCTACCACAGCACAGTCCCCAGCCGTCACCAACATCCCTTGCTCCTAACCAAATATCCCTCCTCCTCCAGACAGGTCTGGCACTTGACTTATTAGG